ACCAAAATGTCAAAAATTACAAAAAAAAAAAAAAAAAAAAATCGGTCCCGGTCGTTTTCCGGGTCTTAAGCATAGCTCCAAGTCTCATCGCCAGATATAATATGTTTCACGACATCCAGGTAAACCAAAAGCATTAACTCTCTTTTTCGAAAAAATTTAGAGATTTTGGAACTTGGGCCCAAATGATCTTTCAAAACAGCTTCATCACTATCACTGATCCTACTGATATTCCAACAGCGCCGGTAAGACCTTTAAATGTTAATCATTGATTCTTAAGAACAATTGATGTTGACCAATTTTCCGCAATCAAAAATCCCTACTTGTGACAATTACTTAGAACCGAAGGCCTTTTCCATCATTTTCAACATTTCGGAACTAGAAATTTGATTCCGAACATAAAATTTACTTAGACTTCTTAGTTGAATATACAAATACTTAGCGTAAGAATCGCAGAATGCACGAATGTACTTCAAGTCTACTAAAGATTAATTATTAGTTTGATGTCACTATTGGCACAGATATCACTGACAATCAAGCTAGCCAAAAAGAAAAAAAAAAAATCTCGACAAATGAATTCTAAATAAAGAGGTGATACTATTATTTGGCCACAGTACTACGTTTTGATATCTAAATTTGATAGTTTAGTTTTTGGATCTCGCTAACATAAATAGCAAAGTAAACGAGGAAATTGACATTCTCCTGACAGGTTTTATTTGCATTAGTATGTACGAATATTAATGTGATGTGTATATATATTTATATGTAGATTTAAGAATATACTTACTCCCACTCTTTGCAAATTACAGTATATTTAATTTTTGTTCATATACAGAGTTTGTCCGGAGAGTAATAGGACTGAGTCGATTTAAAAAAAATTAGGTGGTCACTTTCACAAATGTTAAAATTTTCTTGGCATATTTCCACTCGCCGCAATATCTGGTCGTCAGTGAGCACTTTTGGGACCATCTTCGCGCACACCTTGCACATACACGTTTAAGTGCTTTGTCACAATGTCACGAACGACAGATTTTGATAAATTTAACATCTGGGCAATTAAATGAATACTTAGTCGACGGTCTTAGTTCAAAACTTTGCGCACATTGCAAGGTCTTTATCAGCGACCTCTCGCCGGCCCCACAAAAAGGCCTGGTGCCACCGAAACACACCGGATTGCACCACTCACATAAACATGTCGCGCGAAAATGTTTGTCCTGACTTTTTAGGTGCTCGGAGAAAACTGACCAGTCGCGGAAAAGAAAATCAGTCCTATTACTTTCCGGACATACGCTGTATATATGCTATTATGATAAAAAGTAAGGTGAGTTGGTTTGTAAATTTAAAACTATTTATTTATTTTTCCAAATAGCGCCCCCGCATTGCTCTTTGGATTTTTCTGAATCTGCAGAAGTCGCACATCAGGCCAATACGGTGGTTGCGGCACAATACGACCAAAATGTTTGTAAAAAAGTGGAAAAAAAATCAATGCAGTATGACGTGGTGTATTGTTATCCTTCGAAGAGCTTGACACAAATGACAAATAATGGTCAAGTATTATTCTTTTTTAAGGGTTGGCCCTGCGGAAGGAACTTTTATTCACCAAATTCCTTTTTGATCACAGTAGTAGGTATATACTTATTATAACAATTGGAAATTGCTAGCTATTTTCTGTGAATCTGAAGTGGGATCTATACGTCATTTTGAAATTTTGGCGGATTGTTAAAGTAAGGTAAGT